TTTAAAGTTTAAATTAAGTAGTACGTAGTAGTTAACGTTAACGTAAATTAAACTAACTAAACTAACTAACTACTACTACTACTTCTTGTGTTATTTTGTTTCTATTATAAAATTACTCGGGCCAGCTTGGGTCCTAAGGGTTTCTCCATTATGGATGGCCCCGATCAGGAGACACCCCGGGTAGTCCAGAAGCAGGCAGTTTACCATAGCAAAATGTCTGGTTGGTGTGCCGATACTTGCATTGGCCAGGGAATTTACCCTTTGGATGAGGTGAGTTACTCAGCCAAGTTCTGAGGACTTGATTGAATCGTACACCGAGGTAAAAGCCCTCAATAAATTCAAAAAATGAGAAAAATTCAAAAAATAAAAACTATTTAAATAAAAATAAAACAAAAAACAACATTAAGGAGTATAAATAAACTTTAAGAAGTTTGGATTTAAAAAACGCGTATATATATTTGGGGGTATTTTAATAAATCCAAAAAAAAAAAACATAAAGATAGGGATTTATGGCAAAAAAAACTCAGCAATCTTTGTCAAAAGCATATAAATCATATGTACAAAAATTACATGTCAATCCCCCATTTTTAACTTTGTTTTGGAATTTTTTTAAAGTTTTTCTAATATCCCCAATTGTAAAATAACTCCAGAAAATTTGGCCTTATTCATAAGCTGAGACGAGTTGCTCGGCCGAGTTCCAACACTATGGGTCTAGTGTACTGTTGATGAACTCACTCAGGCGACGGGATTGGGCCGTCCCAAGGCCATTTTATCTTCCATTTTTCTTATTTCCTTTCAACCGATGATTCTCAAGGGCCACAATTGATGAGCCCCAAAACAAGCAATCAGATTCTAAGTGGTGGGTGCTCGAATTGGCAACTGGGTTTAGTCTCTCTCTCTTTTATTTTTTTTTTGAGTTATCACGTAAATTTTAAAAGATATCGCTTTAAATTACCGTTATTAATAAAATCCTATTAAAATTTGATTATGTGAATATCACATTCATACCTACTTTTTATATGTTTTCTTGTTTTTTTTCTAGACAGCTCTTGTTTCGCAACATGAAATTCCGAACAAAAAAGTAGCTCTACGTGGAAGCCAAGGATTTTTTGAGAGAAAATTTCAAAATCCAAAGTTCTATCAGAAAATCCTTGGCCTCATGCAAGCTTGTGTGAGTAATGAGCTTGCTAGATTCCAAAAAGAACTTTATATTTTGAGAATTTGAAGTTCAACAAATTTGAATTCTCAAAATTCGAAATTATTTAAGAAAAGCCTTGGCCTCTAGGTTGCCTTAAAACCATTGTCCAAGAAATTTATTATGATTGCACACTTCGGACGTTCAAAACCCAAAGTAGGGTAATGTCGTCACTTTTGAAAATCATTAAAAAGTAGGTATGCATCTAATAATGAAAATTTTATTACTTGAAAATTTCAGGATTTCTTAAATAATGGAAGTTTAAGAGGATATGTACGTAAATTCCCTCTGGCGCAACACCCTACCTACCCTTTTTTTTTTTCCGTTTGGTGAGAAAAATGAAACAATTCGGTGCTTTGGTAGATTGGAAGAAGATTTTGGATATCTTTCAAAATTTAATATAAATAATTAGATATCTATATATAAAATAATAAAAAAATTTAAATAAAAATTCTAAAAAATAAAAAAATACTTTTATATAGATATTTCTTTGATTAGGCCGAAGGTTCGATTGAATCAGCTTGAAGCAGGCCCAAATATGATCGAAGAGGCCCGAATCTAACCGAACCAGCCCGAAATGGCTCGAATATGAATGAATCAGCAACACCAGGTTTTGTTTCGATTAGGTTTAGGCCAAAAATCTGAAGTCTTCAGCCTCTTCAGCTGAAGCGAAGCGAATTTGACAACACTGGATTTTAACAGCTTAGTGGGACAAAATCAAAACTACAATTCCCGGTTCAAATTCTAGATTTACCACCTAATTAAAATGAGAGAGCACAAACCAAAATTGTAAATGAAGAAAAACTAAGACCCATTTTTTTTTTTCTCTCACCTTTTGGTAGAAGTTGAACCCTCAGATGTTGTGGAGGTATCCACACCAGGCCAAGGGCGACATACGCAATGCTTTCCTTTCTCTATGCTTCTATAAACAGAGGCCACATGCTTACCACACCCACCCCATGTGGTCTTGCCACAAGCATTGCAAGGGGTTTGGTAACACATCCGCTCTTTTATCTCAAATTCTCTCAGTAAGGATGAGATAAAATCTCATATTGTGAGCACTCTCTATATAAACAACTTCTCATATTGGATTTATCGATCCTCTTGTCCTCTTATCTTTGGAATGATTTTTGGTGGTCCAATTGCCCTACTTAATCTTATCCCCAATATCCCATGAAAACATAAGCACTCACGCATTCCTCCAATGGTTACAAATATATGTTGTTTATGGGTGGAAATCAATTTCATGCACTAAGCAATCAAATGAAGTTCGATTGAATAAATTTATTCAAGGTCAAGAAGAGGGCCACCACTTAATAAATTAAAGTCATCCATTCGAGCATTTTTCTTTTCCAAATATTTGGTTAATACATATTTGCATGACGCCAAAATTTTGTATAGTGATTTTTTTTCACCCTAACTATCAAGTCCAAAAAAAAATAATTCAATTTTCATTTTAGATATGGTCAATGAATCTTGACCGTCTATTCGATCCAGGCCTTTAGGAAGTGAAAATCATTTCGTAAAAAAAAAAACAAAGTAATTTAGAAAATTTGAAAAAATAAAAAATCTTTCTAAAGCGTAGATCTAAGCATTTCACCATACAAACGGCCTACGTTAAGTGGGTGAAAAACAACACTCTTTAAGGTACTTTGTTTTTTTTGGTTGTGATTGATAATCCAATTGAAAAGAGTACATATTGAAAAACAGAGGTCAAACAAATAACCCAAGCATGATTTTTTAAAATTGCTTCATTATATAAATCACTCTGCATATAGATTATATACATATAGAGAAATGTAGCACAAAGTTCACTGGAAACTCACTATTTGATTTTTTTTTTTTCTATAAATTCAATGGACTTCAAATTTCCAGGAAACGTACGTATACAAAAAAAACAAAAAAAAGGCACAGAAGGACAGCATAGAAATCCTCCCCTCGTCAATGCTTGCCATCCACGTCAACCTTGGTGGCCAATTTGAGCTATTGGACATGCAAATGCATTGCTCGATGACAAATAAATATATTCATCTCACCAATCAAATAAGGCCCCAAAAGAAGCCTAAAACAATGCACAAATCGTTAGTACTTAAGAGTTGAAATCGTGCATTTTATAGAGCTTCTGGTCATGAATCAACTCAATCCGCCCCAAAGCAAGAAGCCATGAGGAAATATTATATGGGGATTGTCTTCAAAGACACCATTTATTTTTTTGTACTGGAAGTTATAACTATTTCCACTCATCCGATGTTAAATTAGATGGTTTAGGGTTAGTCACGATATTAGAGAATTTTTTTTAAAACTGTTTAGTGACACTATTAAAATTTTAAGAACAAGAGTGATTGTAATCTTGTACAAAAGATAAATGTCTACAAAATTATGACCTCTTTGTACTAAAGATAAAGAGTTTGGTTTGTATAGAGCCTGGGCTCTAATAATCAAATTAGTGCCTACCTTTGAATAGTGTTGAAAAATGTACTTTCACTACTGAAAATCTTTGTGATAGCCTTAAAATATATTTTTATATTTATTTATAAAGTTTAAAGCTTAAAAAATAGTATAGATCGACAGATCTATGAAAACTTGAAATTTTTGAAAATTGACAGTCCAAAAATACAATACAAAATACACTATATCCAAAACTTGAAATCCATTTTTTTTTTTCATGTCCATGCATCTTGATGTCCAAATGATCAATTGGAAGATATTTGAGCATTAAAACAGCCTCTTCTAATGAAATTTTTGAAGTAGGCTCAAATTTAATTATTTAAAGCCTCAGCTTTATATAAACTTTTCCCAAGGATAAATAGTATATTTGTAGACAATTCCTATTCTATATGCACTTATCGGACATGGATTTCCATGTGAGCCATGTGGGGTTGGCTAACATAGATTCAAGATTCATGAAAAATTGTGGTAAAATTTTATGTTGACTACTTATCTAACACAGTTCACATATTTTACCCAGACTTATAACATTTACCTGGACTTAAAACAGGTTAAGGAAAAGTTTACGATCCCCACCCTGTTTTAGACTAAGGCAGTATAAACCACAAAACGAAAAGAAATGGAAAAGGTTATATGCAACATGGCATTCTATAATAAAAAGAGGCATATCAATACATTCTTAAAACTTGTAGACCAAAGGGCGGTCCAAAAGGAAATGACAAAATTACAAGTAAAACCACGCTCTCGACGCCCACTTAATGCAAAACTGATCCGACTTTCAGTTAAGCTCTTCAGTTTAAACCCATTTTACCCGATTTAACAAGCTGCGATTGCTTAAAAACTACCCATCAATGGTTTCAGTAACTGGGCTCCCAGTTTCAGTAACTTGGTTCCCTGCTCCTAAAACTTCAGGGGCAGCATTGCTTTTTTCAGAATTCTCAATTGATGAATCCACACAAGGTTTCTTCTCCAACATATCACAACTCTTTTTGGAGTTCTCCATTGATGAATCCATGCAAAGCTTATTCTGAGAGATATCACCATTTTTGTCAGAATTCTCCATTGATGAATCCGTACAAGGCTTCTTCTCAGAGATATCACCACTATTATCAAAGTTCTCCACTGATGAACCCAAAGAAGGCCCCTTCTCAGAGTTCTCCAATTCCATGACTTGCACAGCTGAAGCTCTCTTCACTCCCCTTCCAACCACCCCAAGATGAGTTACCTCAGTGCTCTTTGTAGTGGTGGTGATGGTTGTGAGCTTTGGTGAGTCGAAGCCACAGGTCTCGGTTCCCATGCGTGAAGACATGGAAGAATCTTCCTTTGCCTTCTCAGCAATGGTGGATATGAGTTTTTCGGTGGCCTGTATCAGTGGGTTTGTCAAACTTGACATCATCTGTTGCAGGTCCTCAAGCTGCAGATAAAATGTCAAAGTATAATCAGGGGGACCGAGGAGAAAGAGAGAGAGAGGCAGGCAAATAAACATTACTATTTCATTACTTTCTCAGCATGTTAAAATGAAAGAGAAACAAATAAATACTAATATTTTACTAAATATTCAGCAGGTGACAAGCACAATGTGTGTGTGCAAGCACATACAGAGAGAGAGAGAGAGGGGGAGAGAGAGAGAGAGAGAGGAGGGGAGGGGGGGAGGGGGGGGAGGAGGTAGGTTAGTTTAGTTCGTTCCGTTTACCGACGTACTAACTTAAACGTTAAA